TGTCACCGAATATCATATTTCACACGCACGCAGCGCGCGCGCCTGCCACGCGCGACTTCTCCACGTCCTCTTAATTAATATGTGTTTGATTGATAGTGCGTGCACACGCCGCTCGAATTGAATCGCAAAAACACGCGTGCTGGCAATTCAGTTTTTGTCGCGATTCGAGGCGAGAACGCCCGATGGCACGTTCCAGTTCATAGACGGGATATGCATAATTGCGAAGCCTACGGGGGGTAAAAAAAAACGCAATATGGGAGGCATTAATCATACGGGAGATGCTATCCTTCTCTTTACTCTCGGGCGAATTATGTTTTTACATTTCATTTATGTACGCGTTTTGCGCGGCCTTTGCAACAGTGCAGGATTGAAACTTTTATGCCTGTTCCTCGCACAGAATGCCACCATTAATCACACGTCCTTTTTACAGTCGAGAGTGGATAAACTGGCGGCACCATTAGCGCCAGTCACCACGCGAAAGAGCGCGCGTGCGTTCTCGAGAAAGAGGACGAGAGGGAGATATAGGCCGGGACATTGAGATAGAGATTTTCTCTCGGTTGACGTGGCGATTTGTGCAAGCAACAGGCAACTTTCATTAAAGCCTTTTCGAGCCACGGTAATTCCTCGCTCGTCTCCCGTCTCCCTTTCTCCGTTCGTCCCGTCGCGTCTACGGCACCACGTGTGCTGGCACGGGCCACGAGCCCACGTCTATGCGGAGGCCCGGCGTGCAGTTCGCGCGCGGTGCATGCGAGAGAGGAATGCACCGTGTGCGTGCATGTGTCGGAGGCAGGGAGCGAGAGAGGCCCGAGTCCCGGGGTCATTCACGAGTCTCGCGCGCGGCTCTCACATTCATGCATTGTGCCACGCCAAGAATTGCCGGCGGCATATTGGACGCGCGGCCGGGCGCGGCGGAGATTCCTCTCGTGTGTTTAAGCGCCGTTAGCGTCGCGTACCGTAATCCCGTTTCGCGTTTTCGCGTCGCGTCGCGCGCCGGCCGCCCCTTGTGTTCTCTCAAACGTAATTAAAACGACGTGGCCTCTCTGCCTCTTTCTCGCGTTAAAGGTTGTCCCGCGAGAGAACCGGCAGTCAATCTCGCGCCTCTTTAGGAAGCGGCTTTTGAGAACGTGGGATTAGTTCTGCTTGGCAACGGGACAAAAAGATCGAGAGCAAAAGCTTATTTCAAGAGCGACAGCTACGAGGCTGGTAATTAACATCGATAATTAGTTTGGACGAATTTAATCCGAGGATGTAAATAGATAAGAAAAGACCATTGTCTTCGTAATATTTCTCGTAATTTTAATCGGACGTTGCCTTGACTGGAAATGTAATTTAGGGCTTTGTTCCGAGTGTCAAGGTACTTAACGCGTCGGCGGGAGAAAAAACGCGTGAAGCGAAATAAGCGAAATAAGGTAAACGTTTCGCAGATAATTCCCTTAAGCGGGTAGCAATTTCTGCCTCGGCGAGGAGAGGAGCCGCATTAAAATATTAATCGGGAACTTGAACACCGCGCGAAGCGGGAGAGTCTCGAGTGCCGTGCGCGCGCGCGCGCGGGGGGGGGGGGGCGACTGCTGCAGAAATGCCAAGTTCGAGCGGCGAACCAAAGAAATCACTCTCGCCCGGCTCCTCGTACCGTTCAACCAAGTCTCGTTGAAAACTTTCCTTCGGAAGTTTTTTCCCACCCCCGTCAAGTTCTCCCTCGGTAGACTCTCTCAGCACTTGGTACGTAGGCGGCGCGCCTTCCCTCCGTGTACATCTGTATATCTATATGTATAAGGGAGAGGGCGGAGAGGGACCTTTTTATCTGTTTTCCATCGGGCGAAACGAGTTGCCTTTTGTACGGTGGTCGATAAAGGGAGGAAATGATGATCCCCCAGGATGAGCCGCGCGCCGAGGGAACTTTCAGGCGACGTTGAAGGCTGGTCGTTTTAACGACGTCGTGGATTTGCGGCGACGGCGGCGGCGGCGGCGGTCGCGAGGAGGACGGCACGGGAGGCTGGCGAGGGCGTATGGCCGTTTTACCACGCTCGTATAACGAATTATAAGGCGGAAGTCCCGCGATCGAACGACCGCGGGAATCTGCCCGACGCCGGAATAATCTTACGGCTAATCTTACCGCTTCCCCGAGGCCGTGATACCGCCGTTTCGGAAAATCGCTTGTGCGGCACTGCACATCATCGGGGCCGCATACCACCCTTAGTTCGCCATCTGTGTCGAGAGGAAACGAGGCGAGATGCGACAGGGATTACCGCGATATCGCCGTGCGCGCGAATTGCACCAATTGTACCAAGCGAATAAATGTTGCTAATTAATTGACGATTAAGAGGAATACATGTATGGTCGAGGGTGCTTTTTGGCCGATAATGTTATTTATCAAACGGGGGAACTCGAATTCCGTCGAATCCAAGTTAAAAGATTTTCGCTGCCGCGTACCTGCCTGGTTTAATTTTAATTAGGAACGCATTGTTGCTCGCAAGTTGTTGAGCGCAATTAAAAGTAATTAAAGTACGCCGGATGTGTCTTTTTCTTTTTTCTTTCAACGGCTCGCCGTGCATTCGGGCGTAGCGCGAGCGATTTTTTCCCGCCTTTCACCGGCTCCGCTCTCGGCGGAGTTGGAAATTGTTAAGATTGTCCGGATGTAAATACTAAATATAGCTCTCGATCGCGGACGAGCAATGCAATTGTAGACGATTGTGCAAATACATAAGACACACGTATGTACAATATCATCCGGCGAGACACGTACACGAGACACGCGCAAACACATCGTTTCCACGTTTCTTCGACGGGATTCAATATTTGCCCCTCCCGAATGAAAGTGTATTATCGCGTATCAATCAAGAAGAACAAATGTTTGCCGAGGGGCGGAGGTAGCTCCGACTTGGACCAGTCGTCGTCGGCGAGACGCTGCGCCCCGTGTAGGAAATCACCGATCGACCGAGGGATTAATTATCCAACGATTAAATATCCGTCAGCCGGGGCCGTTTAATCCGCGACTGCGATCGCGTCGACGTGAGATCGCACAATCGCTCCAAGTTCGATTTAATCGGTGCGCCAAGTTCATATTGCAGCGCTCGCGCGACGAGATGTTTAAATTGTATCGCGTCGCACTGATGCAAAATGCACAAGCGTTACGTGAGTCGAATCTTGTCGCGTCGCACTTTGTACAGGATGTTGCTGAAATACTCGGGCGAGCACCCCCTTGATCAAGTTGGGCGCTGATTTTTCTACTCGACGGAAATTTGATTTGGCCACGTCTACTCCTTTTAACTTTAAATATTAAGTAGCCTCTGGCAACTGGGTTGCCGGCGTCTTTAATATTTCGCTCGAATCGAAATTCTGTTAAGATAAATCCGAAATTTGATTCTCCGATAGTTAGGCGACTACCTCTGTGAGATCCGACGCAACGACAAAACTTTTCATTTTCAACCCCTAACCTCTAACCACTTTCAACCGCTTCAAACACATTGGTTATTTCTGATCAGAAGAAATAAGCTACAAATTGTTTGAAGATTACATTTACTAAGTTTGTCCAAGCATTTTAGGAGCACACTGTACACGAGCGCTGCACACGCGGGAATTGTCAGCGTCTTTCTTCCTCTATTTCTACGTAGACTTCAATTTTGAATTTTGCGAGGATAGACGGAGTGGCAAATCGGATTTCCTGAATTGTCGAGATCTCCGCTTCTCTCGGGGAAGCATCATCGAAAACCAGTTTGAACGGCTGGGTACACGTGGTCGATAAATAGTCAGACGAGGACGTGCGAGTGTCGTTGAAGGATTCGCAACTTGCGAGGTGACGCAATAGATTTGTCTGCCACTGCTGCAGCCGTTTTAGGACAACGGCGCAGTTTTGTACATCGCGCTCACGTCCTTCGCCACGATTTCTGCAGGCTCGAGCGAGAGAGAGAGAGAGAAAGAGACGTGTTTCAATTACATAGAGAAACCTGAATAGTTCGTCTCGTCGAGAAATTGTCGCGTCGCGGAAAATATTGGCAGCCAGTCGGATATTTACGTATCGTAAGGTAACGTTCCCGAATGTCTGATAATAGTCTGTCCGTATCTACTGCGCGAGCGATCGCGTCGACTCCTGTATCGTTTATCTCGTTCGTGTAGCGACTTTGATATCAATTTGCGTGTCTCAAACGGCACATCTGATTGCAAGAACACAAGTCGGTTTCGTGTTAGCTCGCTGCGATGTACAAGCGATAACCAGTTGCTGACAAATTGGCGTGACTCGGTCTCGCGTTCCAATCTGAGATTATTGCAAACCGCGAGCGGGGGGTGCGTTATTCCAACTCGGAGCACGCTGGCGGGCGAAAAGTTGCCGCGAATAGTTCTCCCGCGATATGGCAAATATCGGGACGCGTCTTTTCGTTAGGGCGACGATATTATTGCCGCTGCCACTCGCGCACTTTTATCGGTGTTTACAAAGTTTAATTACCAGCCTGTTCCCACAACCAGCACCGGCACGCAAGACAAACTTAAATTAGCATGCATACGAGGGCTTTGACACCGAGACACAGTAGAATTAATATTCACAGCAAGGGCAGCGAAATCCGAATCAGGGCGCAATCACGGCGGCTGAATAGTGGGCGCGGGGATATAGTGTTAATTATGTGGCAAATAAATTAGCAACTTGTTGATCGTCATTAATTCTCGATAAACCTGGTCAAACATCCAATGGTCCTTGCGAATACTTATAAGCCCTAATAATAACGCGTGCGACGCGTCCCGTTCTCGTGGATCACGCCCAGCTTTCATGCCAATATCCCTAATCGCTATTATACATCGCGAATGCGAATCACGCTTTACTGTAACGAACGCGTGTAAACGTGCGTCGTCGTCGTCGTCGTCGTCGCGGCACGTTGCGCCTCGTGCGATCCGGGACAGAAGGTGAAACTTGAAATACCGCGAAATAAAGAGACGAGGGTGTGACACGTGCGAGCGTGTTGTTTGAATGGAAACGAAAGGCGACGCCTCGAATATAAAGATACGCTAGGTTTAAAATTAAAAACGACAAGACGGCAAACTTTATTTAACATGGAATACACGAAACGTGCGAGTAGAGTTTACACGTACGCAGCATCTCATAACGGATAATACAGATAAACAAATCTTGATAACTTAAATGTATATCTATCTCCCGTGCCATCGTTAACAATAATATTAAATGAACGAGTGCGATCGACGGTCTCCCCCGTAGACGGTCCATTGTGTATCCTTTCGCGTATTCCGCCACTATATTCTGTACACCCAGCCTCGCCGTGGCTGGCGCGCTTATATCATATCTCGTTTATGGAACTCCGGCGTATTGTTGTACTATCCTGTTCCACTCCTTCGGGAAGGATCGCTGAATGTGAGAAAGGACCTTCTTGATCTGACGTGTCTCCTCGGGGCTGCACTGCGGGCAGGAGCCTCTCAGAACCAGCGGCACTAAACCTGGATAAAATAACGACGTAGGGTTTCAACGGAACTTTCGGCTCGGTTTTATCTATGTATGTAAGCTTATGTACGCAGGCCCCTCACGAGATTCGTGTATGTGTACATAATATTATCGCGAGATATAATGGTATTTGATGTTTAACATTTCCGCGAGTGTATACAGTCTGTCCTGGAATCCCTGATGCTAATTTTAACCTTTCATGAGGCGAGAGCTGGTGCGCGCCTGGTGTGGAAAATAAAAACGAAAAACCGGACGGTCCGCCCCCGAAAAGCGAATAAACGTTCACGACGCAAGTTGGAACAGTCGAGCGGCAATGCTCGATATTTAGGTACATTCGATAGAGGAGAATCGAGATCATCTCGCCGAGCTCAGGTTTCCGCTCGCACGAAAATGTTCGACCCCTATGTTTACTCTACGACGACGGAAACGCGACAATTAGCGTGACGTTCTTGTTCGCGTATTCTCTCCCAGTGGAAATTGAACTCACCGAAATTACACGGAAATTACACCAGCCGTAAACTTTGCCTCGCACAATTCCGATACGATAAACATCCCAAATTTGCTCTGAAAATACCGAGGCGCATATTCCGCGATCTTTTTTTCTACGAGTACCGCAAAACCCCTTTTTGGGAGGAGGAGGGGGGCAAATCGCTGTGTAAAAAAAACATTTGATTCCAATGGCGAGTCTCGTTCGGGGAAGTCACGGCGGCGCGGTTGGTTTACTCGTACTTTTCAAACGTCGTCCGACGGGGTCGCACGGCGCCTCTCCCAGGGCGCACTTAAGCTGTCTGTTCAAGTAACGTTTGTCGCTCAGGGCCATATTCAGTTGTTCGTCGGAGACCCGCGATCTGCCGGAGGATTGCTGCTTCCCCTCGTTGTCCGACTCGGCGGCCATCGCTGCGGCGAGCAGGGCGCAGGCCAGGACGAGGATCTGCAACATAATTGCACGGCATATGCAAATTGCGTGGCCCACAATAGCGCGCGCCGATTATTATTACCGAAGCCTGGTATCGCGGTCAAAACGAGCGTCGCGGGGCGTTTACCAGGTTTTCCCAGCGCGTTTCGCGACATTCCGGGCTTTATCGCCCCGTCGGATTTCCGCGGCGGACGTCGAACGCCGCGGGGCGCAGAAAAAAAAAGGAGGGAGACGGATTGTTATTTTACGCGGGCGCGACGTTAAAATTATTAACCCCGGCGCAGCGGCGTGCGATATCCCGACGACGGTGCTTAACGTGATTACACCATCTGCAAGTATTATGGTAAACGGGTTCCGGGCTTTGGGAGGACACGGCAGACACAGGGACGGATACACCCCACATGGGGGGCGAAATTAGCTGCGCGGCCGTCCGACAATAAGGGCGGAAGCACGTCTGTCATGCGGTAACGAAAGCGGATAAGGTAGGGTTGGCCTGCAGGCAGGACGACGCGAGGCGAAGCACGCCAAAGCTAACACGGCTAAACAAGCAGCAACCCGCCGTCGTGCTGTACGACGGCAGGTATGCAAGTAGCTCCCAATCTCTGTTTGCTCGTTCTTCTCTCCCCTATCCGGGTGTTTCGCGTCGCGTCGCGCATCGCCGTCGTCCGGGCTTAACTAAGGTCACCGCTTTTAAATGACCTCCTTGTCGCCGCGGTGATTTTTCCTCGCGGTTTTTCCCCCCATAAACTCGCAGACCGTTGTAATTCGAAAAGTGAATTTTCTCCTCGCGCCTCGGTACCGCGTTTGTACTGCGACACGTTCGCCCGCGGTCCCGCTCATTAAGGGCGCTTCTTGAAAGATTCAGCAGGCGCGCTAACGAGTGTCCGCTAATTTCGCGGGTATTCGCGTTATCGCGCGGAATGATACAATTATTCTGCGCCGCCCGGATCGAGGGGTCTCTGGGCTCCCTCGCAAACACCCCTCCGGCGGCTAAAAGCTACTTAAACACTTGGTGCGAACCACATATTTATTTCAAGTTTATTCGCTGGGTGTGCGAAACCGTCGCTGGGTATCGGACATCACTTATGAAACGTTGACAAAATGAAATATGCCGCTATGTGATATGGGCATCTGAAACAAAGTGAGCCTGCTCCAAACTGTACGTATGTATGTTCGTAAGTGTCGACGCATCACCGCTCGATGACGGTCCCGCCGCTGGTGATAGTTTTTATACCTCAAAATGGGATATGTGGGTCAATTGGCACTTTGGATTTGCGCGCCGAATCGAAAGAGCGCGGTACGTGCGTTACACTCGGCAACCCCCATAGGCTCGATTCGCGCGGGTTTATGGAGACGCGTTGATTATCCGACGCGACGGCGTCGACGTAGGGAACGTATTCCTAGGTTATTACGAGCCCGTAATATACCTGAACTCGTAGGCAATCGAATTCCTTCGCGCGCTGTTTATTGGATTCCTTTGACATCCTTTGTGCTAACGTATTCGCGCTGATCGAGACCCCTCTTTTGCATATCGCCTCGCGAGTAAACCCGTTTGCAGCCGCGATCGAGAACGTGTGATTCGCCGACTACGCGCTTTTGTTTTATTCCCTCTCCTTGTTTTTTTTGCTCTTCCTCTACGTTATAATTTGAATTTTTAATCCCGCCGTCCTTTCACTGCTTTCTCCGGCCTGGATTTCGAATAACCTCGGGCGACCGCCGATCTTCTTTCCTGCCTTCGCGGCTTTTTGCACGTGCGCACACGGTGAATTTTTTATCATTTTTTTTCCCCGTTATTACGCTAAGTATTTGAATAATATATGTACGCGAGACGGCTGAATATCAAATTTCTCGCCGTCGTTCGCGATAGTTCTCCTGGTGATCGGACAAGAACTCATCCTACATTCTTCGGTTTCGTTTTAATCCGAAATCTGAATACAATAATTGAAGTGGACCGTGAACTTTTACGTTTGTCGAACACGTTGCTTGTTCATCCAGCATCCGGTCTCGCGGCCCGATTGCGGCTTAATCACGGCGTAATTACGTTTTGCATTTCAAGTCGCACTTAGCACGTCTGCCTCCGCCCGTCTGATTTCCCGGCGGAGACGCGGAATCCCGAATTTCGACTTTTGTGGCGGTATCCTAATAATCGCGACGGCTCCGTAAATCACGGAGCGCGCCAACTACACACACATACGTATATACATATATGCACACACATATATATATATAGAATATATATATAGAGAAATGCAGGAGTGATTTGTGGATTCGACGCGGGCGCGCTCGCGCAAAACCGCTTACTTCCGCAGACCGGCGTGGATTATAAGAATTATTGCCCGCGCTGAATGGCAAATTGGCGTCGATATATAGATTTTATCGTCGGCACGTCGCGTTAATACCAGTCCTCCTCGCTATAACCCGCCCGGAATGTTTCGTGCAACGAGTACCGCACGCTGCCTCACTTTCTCTCTCTCTCTCTCTCTCACATACACCGCCCTGGTACATACGGCGATCCGCATACGGGCCGTTAATTACGCTCGCATTGAATGTAACGGGTGATAATGCGCCGTAAGCATACGACGCAACGCGGCGCATCGCGAAACCGCGCCGTGTTGGTATAGTATTAATTACGTTCATTGCCCGCGCCCGTATACAGCAATAATTACGCGCAGTTATCGACGCGGCACTTTCACCTCGCCCCGATTACGATGATTTACTCGGCGCGTCGCGTCGTCACGTCTAGTCGTCGCGCGGCTGCAACAACTCGCGGTCATAAAATTAATAATCCGCATTCATCGGCGGCGGGAGAGTACTCTCGTCGGTGAATGGTAACCGGAGATATATCAGCGGATGCAGTCCCACAAGTTATACGCCCGATATCGGCGTCGCCGTTCGATAAATAATAATTTAGCGACGCTCCCCCGCCCCACGTTGGCGCGGCGTTATTTGCGGCCGCGTTAATTTACGGTTATCAAACTAATTTACAGTTGCTTGGCGGTAATCGAGATATACTAGCGAGATTGTCGCCGGGAGCCCGCGTCTTCTCGCTTGATACCGCTAAATAATATTACCGATAAATAAACACACAGCTTGCGCTCTTTCGAGTACAATATTCGCGCGGGGCGAATGCATTGTCGGAGAGAATTAATAGCGGATTGTAGATTAATTATTATCGAGCGAAAGCGTAATCGTCCGACGACATTTTGGTGTATTTATATTTTGGTCGCGTTTGATTAAACCGCACACTGAGAGACCCATTTAGTTGACTCAAATGAATTTCTTGTTTGGATATGGGCAAACGCATCTTTCAGTTGACACAATAAAAAAATTTAGTTAAAAAATTTGGTTATATCAATACGCAAATTAGGGTGAGTAAACATGCGCCGAATTGTTTTATACAATAATATTCAACTAAACGATTTACGCAACAAATAATTATTTAGGACGTGATGAGATGGACGAATTTGTTATCTCAACCAGAAAATTTTGTTCAAATAAACAACTCGTGGAAACTAAATAGTTAGTTTTAACATTTAACTTCAATTTTCAGCAATATATTTTTCGTTTTATATAATCAAGTTACATGTTTAGTCAACAAAATGGGTCTCTCTGTGCAGGCCAATAGGCATAATTAATAGACATACGCCTTTCCTTTATTCTTTAGTCTATTTGTAGTGTTAAGTACAATGTATTTTTTTAACAAGAAAATTATCAAGTCGCTTATTGGACCAAACTGTGAAAATATACGTGTTGTGCAAATTTAGTGCCGATTAACTTTCTATTCGTCGCACATCCTGCAAGTTCACGAAATGTACACGGAGAAGATTTTCTCTTAAAATTTACCCTGAAAATCATGTAATCGTGGGATAACATGGCGTTTTGAAGAACTTTACGAGAGTAACTAATTACTAGTAAAATGTATGGTAAAATTTCCAAAGGTCGTGAAATTCTCCGAAATGCCATGTCGCGTCTCACGATTACATTTTCAGGATAAATTGTGAGAGAGAATTCTCTCCGCGTAGGAATGAAAACTAATGCAGTTGTCGCTGCTTTATCTTAATACTACAAATAAACTTGAAGATGATGCCCCGCGACATTTCGTTTATTCATTTATTCGTCGCTTAAACGCGCCTTTGGACTGCCGATGTGATTGCATCGATTACAACATCGTTGAACAATCTTCTTCGCGATTGTCATTCTGGTCGGGCAGTGTTTCGACATCTTTTGCATAAGTATACGATTGCGATACGTACGGATTATAATGTTATCGCATTGTCGGTAAGCCGTTGCCAATCGCGTCGCACAATACAGCCGTCGCGCTACGTGCGGAAATTCGATAATTCGATTTTATTACAGCAGGAATCGCCGTTTCTTTTCCATAAGGTTCAGTAATTTCTTGTCGTCATTGCATTTATCTATGCACATCGATTATTCAGTCTTTATGTAACTTAATCTCGAGATAATCAAATCACTCTTTTAGCTCTCGCATATTATAAGACGCGTTTCGCAAATTTTTGTATATACACATGTTGACAAACTACACCTAAACCATTTGATCTTTGTCGTATTAAAAGTCTTTTTCACAAAACTTGAGGTATAAGACGAAGTATTGGGTTGATGCATAAGTTCGTCCCGTTTTTAAGCCCAAAATTTCATACCTATTATATTTTGTCCATATACATTTAATCAGTGATATCAGCAGTCTCGCGAGTTGTTTTATGACGATCGGTTTCAATCGAGGCCAAGATTTCGTGACTGTTAATTTCGGAAGGCCGTCCAGAACGTTTGTCATCCGTGAGATAAAAAATTGCGAAATCGTTGGGACCATTTACGAACGGTGGATCCGTCAATAGCATTTTCTCCGTAGAGAGAACATATTTTTCTTTTGGTCTGATCAGCAGGTTTGCCTCTTCGAAAATGAAAAGCACAATATGCCGAAAGTGATGCTTATTTTTATCCATCTTTATAAATTTACACGACTCACAAACATCAGTCGACGGCAACAAATTTGGCAGTAAAGTTTCCGTTTCATTGCTACTTTGAAATGTTTAATACACTATATATAAGTGTGAAGTTGATAGCAGATCGAATTAGTCTATAAAAGTACGCGAATGTTTGAAAACGGGGCGAACTTGTGCATCAACCCAATATAAAACGCAGCTTAAACATAGTTCGGATTGTCATAATTACTGGCCGAAATTTTCAGAAAGACATGCCGGGATTTAATTCCGATCCTGTCACATTTAAGGATGTACTGGTGCTAACATTCTAACATTGACAATACCCTGAAACTCTAATAGATTGTTTCTATTTATTATCTGTACACGTGTGCAAAACCTGAAGCCGATTCTCTAACCGGTTCATGAGTTATTCCACTTTTAATTTTGCACGAGTTCTTATGGAGAAGCAGCATATTCCTACTTATATAAACGAAATTAAATGGAAACAGCATTGCCAATATTCTGAAACTTTGTTTGTGAGTAAATAAAATAGTGAGCAACGTTTCTAAAAAGAATTGATAACGATTCACTAACTCTTTATCGAATTAAAAATATAAATAAAATAAATAATATGAATAATATAAATAATATAAATTAAATATTGCTAATATATGCAACATTTTTTCGTTCCTTACAGTTGATTTCAGGTGAAATTCACGTCCAAAAGTTTTTTGTTGATAATCACAAAATTTGCAAACTGCAAATATATTCATTTGTAGTGCTAAATATCACATTAACTGGCATTATTTAAATCCTTTACATGATACGAGCACATAAAAGCATAGAATTTCATCAATTTCAAATTGAAGTCACTTTTGTCTGGGATTGTATAGGTAATACATCCTTAAGCAAGTCGATAAGAATGCGTCTGTCTCGTCAACTATACAAAGCTCTTGATATGACATTTCCTTTTCTACTTTTTATTTATTCTTTTTTTATATTGCGCGCACGTATATATCGCGAACAACTGCTGCGTTCTATAAAACAATGAAATTTTAAAGCGCGCGTTACAGTGTTTTCTCGCGCAAGATGCAATTATTTTACATCGTACGATCGTTTAGCCGTACAAAGGCATGTAACAATGGAACATTATTGGTTTAATCTAATGGCGCATTAATCCGTACCTATGCATACATGTCTAGTAAACATTGTTTCATTCCGAACTCGGCAATGTAGCGTGTAAAATACATCTTTATCGGCTTCCAATATTTCCCTCGTCCAAATAGAATATCTGTACGCGAAAAGCAAGGACGATCACAAATGTATTCCGCTTTTTGTCTCGGAGAAAAAAAGCGAAAACCACGCGCGGGCTTTTGCAGGATAAATTAAACAAGTCATTAATATCACAGCGCGATTTATGTTACCTCATTATTTAAATGTTTATCTCTCTTCATTACCGTGTTATTTTTCATATTTGCGAGCTTCAATTATGACGTACGGCTTTCTCTCATAATTTATATCTTTTTGACTTCAACACATAAATGTGTCGATCATTCTGGACTTAATCTTTCTTTTTTTTTTCGATGTCTCGGATAAAGATCTGCTTTGCGGCAACCGCGCGGTTTCCGCAAAGCTCCAGGCAAATATACAATTATGCAAAACGGCGCATTTTTTGACGCGAATTTATTCGTCTCCGAGTGGCCCTTCGTTGCGAGGTAAAACGCATTACAATAAAAATAAATCGTCCGGAAGCGCGGCGGTAGACCCTCCTCCGTATCCTCCGAATACTCCGCGTTGTAAATGTACGACACCGTGCGAGAGTCCGCGAGGAGGATCCTAAGTAGCTCGTGTCGTATTCCGAACGTCCGATGAATAAGCTCCTCGGGGCGGTGTCGCGCGGGGGTTTCTGCTAGGGGTGAGAATTTTCCCCGCATACCGAAACAACCGCTACTCTAAACGCCCAGCTTCGCGCGCGCACGCGGCCGAGTCTCGCTCTTCCTCGAGGGTGTTCTCCCCCGAAACTTTAAATCACTAGCTATGTAATTTGTGTATATACATATATATACATATATATAAAATATATATGTATGTGTGTGTGTGTGTGTGTGTGTGTGTATACAATAGAGCGTGCGTACCGCGCGCGCGAGAGAGCGCTTCAACCTGTTGCGCACGTTCGTCACTCACCTTGATTGCCGGAGCCATGCCGAAACCCGGAGGTCGGACGGTTGTTCAAGATCGCGCCGTTTGATCTCGCGCGCGGCGAAAGAGCGAGACGGTATCGATTGGGTGGGGCCGGGCGGGACGAAAGCCAGGATCGACGTTTGGGACGATGTGCGTGCGACCTGCGAGCAAGTTTCCCTGAGCTCCTTGTGCAATTCTGTCCTCTCACCGCGAAATCGCGCAACGCACTGGACCCAAGAGAGGCACGTACCCGTGTGGGCTTTTCTCCCCTTCCTCGCAACAAAAACTAAAGTGTCCGTGGCGTACGACACGTGATATATACCGGGCATTCCGGAGAGGTGCCTACTCTCCGGGCGCCGACACCGTCGCTGGTAGGGGAAAGGTGCGTGACGTACGCGAGCGAGAGGTGCCACGTTTTTTTTTTCGTCCCTCCTCGATCAACACTCGTGCGACGGATATACAACCGGATGCTGCTATTTTATGCGACTTTCGTCGGGCCAACGTTTCTTTCGCGGAAGATAAAGAAACGAGGAAGAGAGGAGCCGAGCTATTAGACATTCTAGCGAGCTTGCGAAGAGAAAGAGGAGAGGAAATTATAGATATTTATTATTCTGAAGCTAACAAGCCCTGGAACTAATCACAAAATTAACAAGTGACTCGATGGACCAGCGGGTAAATTAGAAAGTTGTGTCGATCGGAGGATCGAGGTTCGACACAAAGTCGCTTTGTCACTTGAGGGCCCTCTCTAACTTTCATACGACGGATATTCGCCGACAAATTTCTACTTCCGGCATAATCGGTACACGAGTGTCATTTTACCATGCGCATATCGCTTCGAGTTCTCGCTCGCGGTTGCGTCGGCATACGCGTGGCGTGACGGATTCGCCTCACGAGTTCGCGTTTCTTGGAGAAGTCGAGGTGGATCTCGTTAGGCAAGCCGTCCGATCGGTTTCACCCATTGAAGAAATCGCGCTATTATTGACGGCAATTTTCGTTTCGTCTCCCTCGACGGAAATGGATTTTATGTGTTACGTCACACGTGGAAAAGTCGCTGTCGCCAATTCATCGACCTCCCCCTCCCCCCTCTCTCTCCCTTCCTCCCTCTCTTTCGTTATTCGTTTCAAAATAGTATAGCACGATCACATTAAATATTACAGCGGGTAAAACACTGACGGCAATAATGTGCCGAATAGCCTTTAGCCTTATCTTTAGCTTGGCTCATAAAATATAAAACTCGGATAAAAATATCGCAATTTGTTCTATTTGTTATCATCGTAAGTTGACAATTCATCTTGAATTTTTTAATTCGCTACTTTAATATTCTTTACAAATACGCTGGCTGAGATATCTGAAGTTACAAATACGCTGACTGACAATGAGATATCTAAAGTTACAAAGTTAGCTCTCAATGGATGGCTAACGGTATATCATAATAAAAATGTCGCCGCTTGTGATTTTCGGAGCTACATGGGTTATGTGATTTATCGTTTCATATTTTGACTTCTATATTTTGTTCGGCGTAGTTTTTAAATAAATCTCAATTCTTTTTCGTTATCGAAAAAGTACTTTCTCTCCCCCCCTTTTTTTTCTCTAGATGGACCTACTTGTTGGATGACACTGCATAATGACAACAAGTAGAGTCGTCTGGTGAATATTCCCATATTCCACCAGCGGAATTAATCATCGCCACGCCAAGTAAAATATATTCGCTGGCATGTAAAAATACGCATTTATCTCGTCGTACGTTCAGGCACAGGTCTCGGCTTTTTACGCCGACTCCGCGCCGCTTAATGTGGCATTTGCATCGCAAATTTCACCGCTATTTCCTCCGCCGGATACATCCGATCCGCAAAGTTGCATCGTTATAAAAGCAATCCTGATAAAATCACCGACCTATCTCTCTCGCGGACGAATAACGAGCTAACGAGCGTATTTTTCGGCGCTTCCGCGCGCGCCCGTCTCAGCCTACCGGTGTCGCTCGCTCTCTCTCTCTCTCTCTCTCTCTCTCTCTCTCTCTCTCTCGCTTTGTCCTGTTGACCCCTTTTTTTCATTTTTGACATGTTCCACTGCGACTTCGCAACCTGGAAGCAGAGAGCCCGAAAAGAGCTCCCGATAAAATCGACTGGTTTAATAGACGAGATCGGTGCGAGTCGTTCGCGCTCGCATATTCGACGCCGTACTCGTCTGCGGCGATAACGGGTTTCGAAAGCGGGCTTCGATAAAAAAAAAGACGAAGGAGAAGGCGCGGGAAGGGAGGCATGAAAAATATAGTTGTGATGGCGAGAGAGCGGACACGCCAACGGGATGCCTTGCCAGCCACCGTGCCGATAGGATGGACCGTCGACGGAGAAAAATCGTGCCTTGTGTATCGATGAGGTTTACATCGGGCGGAATTCGGTTATGCACTCCCGAGTCAAAAAATTGTTCGTGCCATCGTGTTGGCAAAATCACTTTTGCAACGGTATCCAAAGGAGGGCAATCGTGCCCTGGAGCTGGATGAAATGTAATCAGCTCAATTACTGAATAATATAATTAACAATTCGCAATTATGATTACTAATATTCATATTATTAATCCGTATTCATAATTGATGAGTAAGGCGAAATTGATTGAATAAGAAAGTGAAATTAATTATGAGTCATGATTGAATTACCAGTCATTAATTACATTTTGGATGATGATCGATTCAGTAAATTAACGAGCAGATTTTGAAAAAGTGTAGACAGCTTTTATAAACTTTGCATTCATTAATTGGATGCGAACGGAAAACTTGAAGCTAATATTAAGTAAGAAATATTGAAAGATGTTTTACCTGAATAAGAGATAAAAATTCTTACGTAAAACTTGGACACTTGTCGTTATTTGCCGCAACTTTTTAATTTCCCGTATTAAATATTTTAGCGCCCAAACTTGCAATTGAAAATTTTACTGAAAGTTAAATGAAGAGTGAATTTTATTTCATCATCCATTTGCACTTGCCAAAACTTTATTCGCGAATAGATCCGTGTGAGCAAATAATACAAATAATTTAAATACTACGAATATCTCGATACGCTTTCATTACAATTTCTCAGGTTGAAAAATAGTACGTGCTGTTTTGCACGCCGATGGCACGTTCTCCGTGTATCAATCTAAAGATTTTCGCAGCATTTTGCTGGCGGTACCGTGGAGGGACAGAGAGAGAGAGAGAGAGAGAGAGAGAGACAGAGAGGAAGGATTTCAGGCCCTGTCGATCGCGTTGATTTGTTCGTTAGTTTCCGTAGGGGGATTTAATTTCCCGGGAACAACGAAAAGTGTATTTTTGTTTCGGAGATTTTCGCACCAGCGCCGGCGGCATCCAAAAGAGGGGCGGATTCGAACATCCCGACAAAGTCGACGTGTCGGTGCGATCCCCCTCTCGTGCTTCGATTTTTTTTCCCGCGCTGCCTCTCCGTCATCGACTCGGCCTTCCTTTTTCCTTTTTCGTCACCCCCGACTACGTTGTCGGGGGCTGTTTGAATGGGCGATCGTTTCGAGGCGATCCGATTGTTCCGACGGAACGAGTTTACCCCGAAAAAAAAAAGAGGTGAGCCCGATGGGGAAAGAGGAGATCGATGGCTTATTGTGCTGTTAGTCACGTCGTGTGACTCTTCGGATGGAGGGACGGGGGAGGAGGTACGGAAGAGGCGGCTTGATTCACCTCGCGTTGAGTTTATTTAACATTTGCAGCCGCTTAACAGCCCAATTGGTTTTATATCCCTTTAGCGACACGTCCCATGCATATTGAAGCGCGCCAGCTCGTGGAGTGCGTGACAAGTATCGTTATTATTTAATTTGATAATAATTTAATAGCTGCATATATACGTTCCGCACTATAATGTCCTAAGTGGATTGCGTACTCGTTTCGAGTAAATTGATTTCAACTGCAATATTGACCCGAATATTGAAGTGTTTCTTATTATTCCATTTAATTAGACCGATTTTGTTGATTTAATCACGTTTGCGACTCTGGTCTCAATCGATCGGCGCAATGGGGGTAACGCAATCTCGAGGTAACGGGTATCGCGACGTGCTTGCGTCGGAAAAATGTGATATTCTTTAGTCGAGAAACGGCGACGGCGCGCGGTCTCGTGCGGGAAAATTAGGAAAACTGCGCCGGCGATTAAGTCGACTTTAACGGGAGCGTGCCGTACGTAAATTTGAGATATCGCGCGAATGCGGTCGCGCTAATTTCTTTCTTCTTTTTCGTCGCTCGTCGTTATTTACCAAGCTATCGGAAAATTCAACGGTTTTATCTTCTCCCCCCCCCCCCGAGTTGGCGCAAATGGTTTTTCCGTTTCTACATGGCGCGTGCACCAGGCATAACGCGCATGAGTAGTTGCGTATAGCGAATTGCATAAATAAACGTTTTGCATTTCGATTCGCCGCGAAACGAACGCGCCTTATTGTTGCAGCGCCGCGTGTACGTACATACGTGCACACCTCGGCGCGCGCGATCGGACCTGCGCTGTAAATCCTCGACTGCCAAGTGAACTTACGGTGAGGTGGATCAACGAACGTTAAACCGGCAGATTAGGGACGGGAAAAGGATGACGCTTGTTTTAACCCTTCTACGAGGGTTAATCTTCTCCCGGAGAATTCGTATAACCAGCCCGCGTAGCTTAACAAGGGGATTTCCCTCCGAGAATATAAATTTAGATAAACAAGTTTTAATCACATTTTGTTGCTGGAAATTTCACCGCCGCAACGTTAACTGCAATTTAATTATGTTAATTTTAAACGAATTTAGTGGGCATCATCATTCTTCGCGCTCGCGCGCGTGCAAAATCGCGGGGGAAAAAATTGTGTACTTAATGTACGAGATTGCGCGCCGCCGCCGCTGCCGCGGCATCGAGTTACGCGAAATTAATTGTTCAACATTAAATCTATCGACAGACTCCGCGTTTGAGCCTCGCTTGATATTGGCCGGATTAAATAAACCGTCCCTGTTATTTAAATATTTATTCGCGGGAAATTACTCGCGTTGGCTTAATAAATTCAACTATAATTTCCCCATAGGCTCGACCTTGCCAAGCTACGAAGCGCGTCGAGCGTTGGCAAAACGAGTAGATAAGAGAGAGGTCTCTTCCCGCGGATGTTTTTTTCTTACTTTTCGTTTAATGCGCAATCCGGTCGAGCAGCCTCGTTCCAAAAGTCCGACGGGTATCCTATCTTGATCACCGAAAACACAGAGCTTGTGTATTGTGGTGTACATATTTGCGGCTTTACTGGGCATTACTAGGCATTTTTGGGGCAT